ACTCCAGAGGCTGAGGCAGCAGGATTGCTTGAGCCCAGGAGTTTGAGGTTGCTGTGAGCTAGGCTGATGCCACGGCACTCACTCTAGCCTGGGCAACTAAGACTCTGTCTAAAAAAAAAGATATGCCTGGACCATATTGTGGGAAAGGGACAAAATGTGACCTATCTAGAGACACCCATACCCAGGTCTGTGTTGGTTTTTATTTTTGATGTGACTGTCTTCTGGAGCTGGATTGTCACTGCTGCTGGTAGGATTGTACAGTGCTAATGTCAAAAGCATATGGGTTTGTGAAGCAAAGACTAGCAGGTTGTCCGTCACCTGGGAGGCAGGATGACTCTTTGCCAATTATGCATGTGGGAAGAAGAATGGCTGGAATCGCTGATGGTTTCACAGGTTCTTGGAAAAGTGGGATGAGGCCCAGGTGTACTTAACTCTATTCCATAGCATTCTTTTCCTTCATAATTCTTATGAAGAATTAACAGCGAATGCCTGGTGTATTTTCCTCCTGTTGAAGAATTAAATATTGACACATCTTTGCTGAACCATTCATGAAAGGAAATTGTATATGTGTTTTGGCACTTGGAATTAGACCTCCGAATTCTTGTGCATACATCTTCAGAAATGACTCTCCCTATCTAGTCACAGTGCTGTCAGCACACCTGGTAACCTCAGAACTAATGCCTTCTCTCTGTCACATTCAGATTTCTCCACTGGTCCACGTCCACATTTTAACACACGTGAGTTATTTCACTTAAGCTAGTTTTGAGCTCGGGGCTATGTGAAGCAAAACCCTGCAATAGGTTCATGAAAATCTTATTGATGGCCGGGCACAGTGGCTCACGCCTGTAATCCTAGCACTCTGGGAGGCCAAGGTCAGGAGTTCTTGACCAGCCTGAGCAAGATCGAGACCCCGTCTCTAATATAAATAGAAAGAAATGAATTGGCCAGCTAACATATATATATATAATTAGCCGGGCATAGTGGCGCATGCCTGTAGTCCCAGCTACTCGGGAGGCTGAGGCAGAAGGATCACTTGAGCCCAGTAGTTTGAGGTTGCTGTGAGTTAGGCTGACACCACAGCACACACTCTAGCCTGGGCAACAAAGTGAGACTCTGTCTCAAAAAAAAAAAAAAAAAATTGAAAGGATCATTTTGTTCTAGTAAACCACTGTGGCCCCAGGGGAAAAAAATTTTTTTTTCCTATGTGGCAGTCAATGTGTTAAAGCTCTGAGTAGCAGGGTGCCTGCATTTCATCTGCTTGTCATTGTCTCTTTAGTTTGTCAGACTAGAAGTATCCCCACCTTTTTATGCTTTTCATAACATCAGCCTTTTGCAGAGTCCAGGCCGTTTGTCTTGTGTGAGATGGTCCATCATCTGAAGTTGTCTCTCCTGGTGGTGTTGCCTCACGTTCTCCTGTGTGGTCAACCTGCTTAACCTATTCTTAAGTAACCCAGGTGCCAGAACTGAGGAGCAGCAGAGTCCTGTGGCAGGGCTGGAGCAGTAAGAGGCGCTCCTCTAATGCAGGGAGCCTAACGCTTTTTTGCTGCTTCCTCCTAGGACTGTGAGGAATGTATCCAGCTGGAGCCAACCTTTAGTAAGTACCTTTCTGCTGCCTTTCCCCTGTCCTCTGCCCCTGGCCAAAAGATTAGAGAAGGAAAGGGCAAGCTCTTTGTCCATCTGCATGTTCTTGGGGCTTGTAGCATCTAGGGCCCAGCATGAGCAGAGGTGAGGGGTGTTGGCGTGCGGTCGGACACATGCAGGAAGCAGCCTGTGAGGCTGTGTTTGGATAATGCCCCACCTTTCCTGCCTGCAGTCAAGGGTTATACACGGAAAGCAGCTGCCCTGGAAGCGATGAAGGACTACACTAAAGCCATGGATGTGTACCAGAAGGCACTAGACCTGGACGCCAACTGTAAGGTGGGGCTGCTTCTGGCCTCCTATGGGCTCTCCCTGCCTCTGGTTCTCCTTTGGGTCTTTTCCACGTTCAGTCACTGATCTGCCTTGTCCCCTTCATTTCTCATTGTCTGTTTCTCTCTTGTGTGCTCTCTTCCCTTCTCAGTTACCTTTGGCATCTTGGACCCGCTGAGGCAGTGAGCCAGGCAGTGTTAACACTCCTCCCCTTTGTCTCCTCTGCACTGCAGGAGGCGGCAGACGGTTACCAGCGCTGCATGATGGCCCAGTACAACCGACACGACAACCCGGAAGATGTGAAGCGGCGGGCTATGGCCGACCCTGAGGTGCAGCAGATAATGAGTGACCCGGCCATGCGGCTCATCCTGGAGCAGATGCAGAAGGACCCCCAGGCACTCAGCGAGTAAGTGGAGCTGGGGGAGACAACCTTGCAGGGAAGTGGGAGCAAAGCAGTTAGATGAGAAGGCAGGAGGTTGGTGGGGACGTGAGCAGTCTGGGTGGGATTGTACGGCTTAAAGGTTGGCAGTGGGTGGCGAGCTGGAAGGGCTTTGTCTGCATGTTAGTCATGATAGCTTAAACAGTCATTTGGGAAAGCCACTCCGTTTTGCTGGGGGAAAAGTCTTGGCTTAAACCTGTGTTCATAGGCTCGCATGAGGGTGGTGCAGTTCTGTGTGGAGGAGAAGGCCTTTGCAGTGCCTTCATGGGACCCTGATGCCTTCTGGGACGTTGTGGATTGGGGCTTGCTCTGAGAGCAAGGTTAAGTCTCATTTCCAATAACTGCCTCTTTGTCCTCAGACACTTAAAGAATCCTGTAATAGCACAGAAGATCCAGAAGCTGATGGATGTGGGTCTGATCGCCATTCGGTGATGACTTGGTCATGCCCCCCTTCCCTTCACCGTCGTGTGGAAAGAGGGCTGGGACCGCGGCCAGCAGTGCGGAGCAGAAGGGAGAGAAGGGGGAGAGAGAACAGCTTATCTCTATATATTTATACATACCTACGTGGAAGACACAGAGACTTGTACTCGCGTCATTTGTGCAGCCGCTGCCCCTGGGCCCTCCCAGCACACGCATGGTCTCTTCACTGCTGCCCTCGAGTTCCATGTCTTTTCCCTGCCCCTCAGTGGCTGCTCTCCCATAGCTGGTTATTTTTTATTTGGGGCAGTGGGCATGTGTGGGAGGGAAGGGTGTTCTTCCCAACCCCAGGTCCCAGCTGTCTCCACATTGTTAACTCACGGCCCCTTCTCCAATAAAACAAGCCTGTCGGGCGTGGTTATATGTTGCTTCTGCCTTGAGTGGTTTTTTGCCAAAAGACCCCTGCAGAGATGGTACCCTGAATTGGGAGAGGTGTGAGTGTGGCCTACCCAGCCTGGGAACCTGAGCCTGGCTTTTTCTTCCCTTTTTGATGGGCTGAGAAGTAGGTTGAGTCATTGTAAACTCCAGGGCTCTGCGGCTTTGCCGAGGCGGCCGCTAGGTGGTGCTGTCACTCAACAGCTGAGAGGGAAGCTGGAGGCTCCCCTAGGGTCAATGGCACCAAGGAGATTGGGAGATTTGAGGTGATCCCTGTGCTGTTAATTCTCCACACTCTAATCTCAAAATCAGAAACTAACTAGATCCAGAGAACACTAGGTCCAACCCAGGAACCAAGAAGGATTCAGACGTGCGAGATGTTCAGACCTCTTGGGAGAGAGAAATACTACTGTCAGCTGCTGTGTTGGACTTAGGAGTCGCATCACGGTTTTACTGCTCTCGTCTGAGAGCTTGAAAGACTAAGCTTTAGTGGCACTTTTCAGCCAGGTGTCCAGGTGTTGTGGCTCACACCTGTAATCCTAACACTTCGGGAGGCCTAGGCAGGAGGATCCCTTGAACCTAGGAGATGGAGACCAGCCTGGGCAACATCTCTACAAAAGATAGATTAGCTGGGTGTGGTGGCACATGCCTGTTATATAGTCCTAGCTACTGAAGAGGCTGAGGCAGAAGGGTCACTTGAACCCAGGAATTTGAGTTTGCAGTGAGCTATCATGGCACCACTGCACTCTAACCCAGGCAACAGAGCCTGACCTTGTCTCAAAAAGTAAGAATAATAATAATTACACTTCTGTATGATTGTAACAAACTTGTAAAGCTCTTCTGCACTGAGGAGGCTTCTAGGACAGAAATAAAACTTCCTCATTTGCTCCCAGAGTACTGCTTTCTGGGTGACTGCAGCTGGCCGGACTTCCTCTGCCTCTGAGTTTCATAAGCCAGGCTTTCCCCCAGGAACCCCCCCCCCTGCCCAGGGCCCCTCCACCATCTGGGTGGCCTGGCTGAGAGAGCCACACAGCCACAGGGCTTCTAGTTCTGCTGCCCCAGGCTTGCCTGCTGTCTCTGAGGCTTTGTTGCCTCCAGCAGCCACTGTGGTCACCAGAAGGGCTGACTGCCCTGTACAGCTGCCAGCTCCACTGGAGCTGCGTCCTCGTGCAGGTGGTGGGCAGGAAGATGTTGGCCACCAGAGATACTCCGAGATGACCCTGAGCATGGACTTGACAGGAGCGAGCCCGTGGGTACTCAGGAAGCACGTTGCTAGTGGAGGGACAGAGCGGAGGTGCCGTGCTCCAGCCACAAGCCCTGGGGTGGGGGCAGTGAGGTTGTGAATGATCAGGGCCAGTTCTGTTCCCTGGCTCTTGACACATTTGCAAACAGGGCTGTTTAGGGGTAGGAAAGAGCCCTCAGGGATCTTCTGTTGATGGCACACCTGCACTCCTTATATAACCTGGATCTAGTCCTTCAGCTCCTGCTCTCCTTGGGCACCCAAGTGATGTCTTGTGGCCCAAAGTTCCTACCTCATGACCGGTAGGCAATGGGAGAGATTTCCTACAGAGGCAGACCTAGGCCTGAACAGAATGGGGGGGGGAGGCTTCTCTAGTTTGAACCGAGTTTTACCCCCAAATAACGGGGACTGTTTTTGTGGTGTTGGGTCCACACGCCCCGCTGTCCTTTGCTTCCTGTGTTCTCTGGGGACAAAGGCTGGGGCCCGCTGGAACCCTCTGCAAGCTGGCAGTGTGCTTCCTGCACCCAGCGCCAGCCCGCCCTGGGGAGGGGCCAAGCCCGCCCTCCTGGTGATAAGGCGGGGAGGGCTGCCCTCCTGGAGGAAGCTCCAAAGAGAAAGCAGAGGGCAGGAAGCGGCCCAGCGCCAGCAGGTGTGCAGCGAGGCCCACCTGCAGCCCCGATCCTTCGCTGGCAAGGTAAGCTGGGGCCGGCTGCTGAGACCCAAGAACTCTGCAGCCTCCGCCCAAAACACCGTGCTCATGTGGCATCCTGAACTTTCAACCACCCCAGAGAGGTTTTGGCTGGTTTGGGATGTTTGGATCTGAGCTGTGAACCAGGATTGGAAGGATTATTACTTCCTGCCCTGAGCACACAGCCACTGCCAGGGTGGGCACCTGCCCACGTGGGGCTGGGGCATGAGCTGTGGGCTGGGAAAGCAGCCCTGGGCTTGTGCCCAGCTCTAGCATGAGCAGGGTGACCTTGAGAGCACCTGGTCACTGGGCCTCAGTCTTCCCATCTGTAAGATGGGAGTAGGTTTGACAACATGGTCCCTGAGCGTACTTTTTCAGCTCAACCCCCATGATGGTGGGAGGGCCTGACGTTGGCCTGGGACAACTCAGTGCCCCATGACATGCGCCGCCACGGGCATCCTGGCCTGCGGGCTTGCTCCCTGCCCGCCTAGCTGTGCAGGCACCCGGCTCCCTCTGCTCCAACACGGGAGCCCCCCACCCCCAGCGCTCTGCCCCCTTGCCTCCTGCCACCCTCTCTGTAGAAGCAGCCGCAGCCATGGCGGGGATGAAGACGGCCTCCGGGGACTACATCGACTCTTCCTGGGAGCTGCGCGTGTTTGTGGGAGAGGAGGACCCCGAGGCCGAGTCGGTCACCCTCCGGGTCACCGGGGAGTCACACATTGGCGGGGTGCTCCTGAAGATCGTGGAGGAGATCAGTGAGTGCTCCACTGCCCCCGCCTGCCTGAGTCTTGGTACTTCCGGGCCACCCCTGCTGCGCAGCTTGCGATAATGGTGTCACAGTGACTCAGGCACCAGTTTAATCGTTCGGCTCCAAAAAAGACATTTCCCCAACTTCCCCTCCCACCCACTATCTTCCCTCCCTTCCTCCCACTCCAGCTGGTTCTGCTGAGTCCCTAAGGATGAGACCGGGCCACAGTCCTCCGTTCATCCCCTTCTAGGGGCAGAGGGGGTGGCCTTGCCTGGGCCGAGTGAGGCACAAGTCATGTGCCTGAGGTCTGAAGGGTGGCCGGGGGCTCCTGCTAACCTGGGGGCCTGCTCCCACACACCCTCCCCCTGCGGAAGCTCTCAGCAGGCTGGTGACAGGCCCAGCCTGGGGGGGAAGGCCCTGCCCCCAACAGGAAGTTACAGCAGGGCAGCCTGCGGTGTTAGTCGGGAGTGGGAGTCGCAAGGCCAGTGACATGGGGGCTTCTCATCCTCCTTCCCTGCAGGGGCGGGGACTGCCCCTTCCTGAGAGGGCAGCAGGACGACCCTGATAGCCAGAGCGGAAGGCAGGCCAGTGAGTCCCAGCCTGGGTCCTCGGCTGCCCGGGGTGAGGGTGGGGAGGCTTCCTCAGACCCTGCCACCCACCACGTGCAGCCCAGGGGAAAGGTCCACATATGGACAGGTCGCCTGGCCACCGGGCTGAGGCAGCGAGGGGCACTTCCGGAGGCAGGGCCCAAAGAGGCTGTGAAAGCAGGAGACCAGGTGTCACATTGGGTCTGAGAGGGGCGTGCAGACCTGAGGGGCCCAGGACAGGGCGTGCGGGAAATGTGAGAGGCCCCTGCTTGGAGTCAGACAGCCAGGCACACTGCTGCTCCATCCCCTGCTGGGCCCCCAGCAAGTCTCTTCAGCTCTATGTCCCCTGTGCAGTGGATGGGGTCCCCAGCCCTCCCACTCCCGCTCAGACATCTATGATGCTTAGCCAAGTCAGCCCCTGGCCAGGCCCGGCCACCTGCAGCGTGGCCGGCAGGTGAGACCGACCCTCTGAGGGGCTGAGCTACACAGGGACAGCTTTCCTGGGGCCTGGAGCTGAAGACAGGGCTGCCCCCAGCCCAGGACAGGGAGACTTCCCGGGAGAAGCCACCTAACACGAGCTCTGAGTGGTGGCCGCAGTCGGGGGAGCAGGGCAGTGACGGCGAGGACATGGGGGTGCTCTGAGTTAGGGCCCCTTGGCTGGGAGGATGCCTGGAGTGTGACAAGAAATGAGGCTGGGCGGTCCCTGGCCAGCGCCGCATGGCCCTGAAGGCTTCTGGGGGGTCTGGACTTCGCCCTGGAGGTGAAGCGTTCCCAGCAGAGGGTCTTCGGCGGGGGCTGTCGCACCAAGGCTCCCATGTGGGGAGCCCGGAAGCAGGAGACCCCGTCCTGGGGAGACGGCAGGGCCCTAAGTTTGGGCAGGGAGGATGGCGAAGAGGGTGGGTTTGGGAGGTGGTGACTAACGTGAAAGGGATGCACGGTGGAGAGTCCTTGTCACCACCCCGAGACGTGGAGGAGCTGCAGCCGGGGAAGGGGCGCCTCTGTGCAGAGCGAGCTTAGGCTGAGCGCCTCAAAGCTGGGGGTCAGTGCATTTATGGTCCCAGTGCCGGGCACATGGCCAGGTGAACAGAAGTTTCTGGAAGGAAGGAAGCCAGTGGACGTGCCTCAGCCGGGGGCACCTAGGGGGCTGGTCTGGGCTCCAGACAGGGTCTGGGTCAGAGGGCCACACCCGGGGGGTCGGCAGGAGGTGGCAACTGGAGAACGGGGAGACCCCAGGGACAGGACACGGCTGAGGAGGGAGAAGAGGGTCCCGGACCAAACCTGGGAAAGGACAGGTGAGGGGCAGGTCAGGGGAGGGGACAAAATTGGACAAAAAAAGAGCAGAGTCAAGAGAAGGGGAAGTGGGCGGCACAGAGCCCAGGACAGAGTGAGGATGCCGGGAGCGGAGGGCCCAGCCCTGGGAGGACAGAGGAGACGGAAAGGGAGACGCTTCTCTGGGCGCTGGCAGCACTGGTGACTAGAAGGGCAGGGCACGAGTGGGAGGTGGCACAGGCACCGGACGACTGGCCAGGAGGACCACGAGGAACCCAGGGAACAGGGCTCTGTACGCTCCCGAGGGCCGGGGGGCAGTGCCGTCAGTCCCCTTTGTTCCTGTGCTCCCTGAGAGAGGCCAGCAGACCTCGTGTCTTCCGTTGCTGTGTCCCCAGTCCCTAGCTGGCTGACGAGGGACCTATTTCTACTGAATGCTCACTGGTGGATAGTCGCGTGCGTGCACGAGTGTGCCACAAACACTCTGCACCTACCCTGCAGCAGGCTCTGTTCCATGTCCATGGGGTCAGGGTAGTTATTACATCTTACAAATGAGGAAAAGAAAACTGAAGCCCAGAGAGGTTAAGTGCCTTGCTCTAGTTCACACAGCTAATATTCAATAAATGTTGAGAGAGAACGTCCCGCTGCATGCCAGGCACAGTCCCAGGGCCTGAGGACATGCAGCAGAAAGACAGACTAGTCTCTGCCTCCTGGAGCTCCCAGGAGTGCGAGAGAGAAGTCGTTAAGCCAGGACAGAGGAGGCGCCAAGTGCTGCAGCGCAGGAGGTGGGGGCACTGAGATTGGGCACCCAGACTCCGGGTTGGGGGGCTCCTCTGGGAAGTGACGTGGCGACTGAGCCCAGAGGGACAGCAAGGCCCAGCCAGAAGAGCCATTCCGTCGGCACCAGGGGCTTGGGCAGGGGCGGGAGGTGGTCAGCACAGGCCTGTGATCCTGGGCTCCTGCTCAGGGTTGGGGCAGCAGAAGGAAGGCCGGGCGGGGCGCGCCACGCCGACCTGCACACCCTGCCCGCAGACCGCAAGCAGGACTGGTCGGACCACGCCATTTGGTGGGAACAGAAAAGGCAATGGCTGCTGCAGACGCACTGGACGCTGGACAAGTATGGCATCCTGGCCGATGCACGCCTCTTCTTCGGGCCCCAGCACCGGCCGGTGATCCTGCGGCTGCCCAACCGCCGCGCCCTGCGCCTCCGCGCCAGCTTCTCCAAGCCCCTCTTCCAGGCCGTGGCCGCCATCTGCCGCCTCCTCAGTGAGTTGCCCGGCTGGGCCCCTCCGCCGGCCCCCATGCTGCTGTGAGGGGGCAGGTCCCCACCCTGCCCAGCCCAGCTACTGTCCTACCGTCCTTGCTGCCTTGTTCCCACCCTGCATGAGGTGGGGAGGCCCGGGCAGGACCTCGACCCCAGCCTCGTTGAGACCCCAGCTCTTCTCAGGCATCCGGCACCCTGAGGAGCTGTCCCTGCTTCGGGCTCCGGAGAAGAAGAAGAAAAAGAAGGAGAAGGAGCCGGAGGAGGAGGTGTATGACTTGACCCAGGTGGTCCTGGCTGGGGGTGAGCACAGGCTGGGGCGGGCAGGGCCGGGGCTGGGCCAGGCCTTTTGGGCCCGGGCCCGGGGACGGGCCTGGTGACTCCCACCTGCCCTGCAGGTGTGGCACCTGTGCTGTTCCGGGGGATGCCAGCCCACTTCTCAGACAGCGCCCAGGCCGAGGCCTGCTACCACATGCTGAGCCGGCCGCAGCCGCCGCCCGACCCGCTGCTGCTGCAGCACCTGCCGCGGCCCAGCTCCCTGCTGGACAAGACCCAGCTCCACAGCAGGTGCGCCGCCGCCTGTGTCTGGGCTTCCCTCCCAGCGCCCACCCGCCCCACGTCCTCGCACACCCTGGATCCACGCCCGGTGCCTCCAGGCCTTGCCCGTGTGTGCGCCTGCCCCACCCCACCCGGCCGCTGCCCCAGCCTCGGGTGTCCCTGGCGGAGCCCTGACCCCGCCTCTGTTGCGGCCCAGGTGGCTGGACTCGTCGCGCTGCCTCATGCAGCAGGGCGTCAAGGCCGGGGACATGCTCTGGCTGCGCTTTAAGTACTACAGCTTCTTCGACTTGGATCCCAAGGTGGGTCAGGGAGAGGTGGGGGCGTGCGGTCCATGAGACATGGCGCCCAGGGCAGAGGGCTGGGCTCTGGGATGTTAGTGACTTGTAGGGGCCAGTCCACCTGCCTGATTGTCCGTCTGTGCCTCTGTTTACTGACCCCACAAACACCGTGCTGGGCCCGGGGCAGATGAGAGACAAACAGGTCTCCGGGCCTGTTTCTCAAGCAGCCGTCAGGGAGCTGATGACCACAGGCAGCACAGCCAGTGGTGGGCACCCCTGGGAAGTCTGGGTGTGGCTCGGCTGGGAGAGGCCCCGGCCGCAAAGTCAGGGAAGGCTTCCTGGAGGAGGCAGCACTTGGATCTGCAGGGACTGGGGCAGGCGAGGAAGGAGGCTGTGCAGGCTGGCCCCAGGTTTCCCCGTCCACTCTCCCTCCCTGCCTACATCCCTGATGGCGACCAGTGTGCCCCCTGTGTCCATCTCAAAAGCTGCCCAGGGGCTCACAGGCCGCTGTCTCTACTGGTGACCCCACCGCTCTGCTCCCCTCACCGCAAAACTTCACGGTTGCCCCCAGAACACTCGCTCCCCGGAATCCTGCCTCCTGTTTGCAAGCTTTCCCTGGGCACCCTCTGACCCTCTTGCCCCTCGGCTGCAGCTATTCTGGTGTCTTCTGCCCCGTCTGCACCGAAGTGCTGCGGCTGCTGCGGTGACCCCGCCTCCATGCTGCCTGGTGTCCCTTCCCTCCCACTTGTGGCACAGACACAGCCAAACCCACAACACATTGTGGAGTCATTGCTGCTGCTATCACCGTGACAGCTTTACTGAGAAGCCAGCTTTACTGGTGCAGTGCTCCCGTTTAAACAGTACAATTCAGCGGTTTTTAGCGTATTCCCAGATCCGGGCAGCCATCAGCACAGAACGCCACCACGCTCTCATCGCACTAGAAAGAACCCCCTCCCCCCGGCTAATTTTTCCTTTTTTTTTTTTTGAGACAGAGTCTCACTTTGTTGCCCAGGCTAGAGTGAGTGCCGTGGCGTCAGCCTAGCTCACAGCAACCTCAAACTCCTGGGCTCAAGCGATCCTCCTGCCTCAGCCTCCCGAGTAGCTGGGACTACAGGCATGTGCCACCATGCCCGGCTCATTTTTTCTGTATATATTAGTTGGCCAACTAATTTCTTTCTATTTATAGTAGAGACGGGGTCTCACTCTTGCTCAGGCTGGTTTCGAACTCCTGACCTCAAGCAATCCACCCGCCTCGGCCTCCCAGAGTGCTGGGATTGCAGGCGTGAGCCACTGCGCCCGGCCTCATTTTTCTATTTTTTGTAGAGACCAGTCTTGCTGTGTTTGTTGCTCAGGATGGTCTAGAACTCCTGGCCTCCCGAAGTGCAGGGATTACGGGTGTGAGCCACCATGCCCAGCCCCAATGACGTTTTAAAGACATTTTTAAAATATGAAAAAAGTCTCTTATATTCGCCCTTACACTTACCCTTTCCTGTGCTCTCTATTCCCGCGTGGAGGTCTGGAGTGCGCACTGGCACCATTTTCTGTCCCCTGAAGGACTTCCCTTAACGTTTCTTGCAGTGCGGATCTCCCGGTAACGAATTTGCCTTCGATCTTGAGAGAGATTTTTACTGGCTATAGAATTCTTGGCTGACAGGCTTTTTTCTTTCATTGCTTTAAAGGAGTTGCGCTGCAGCCTTCCTGCGTACCCTGCTCCCGACCAGAGGCCTGCTGTGCTTCTCTGCTCAGCGGCATGCAAGCTGTCTTTTTTACTGGCTGCTTCCACATTTTTCTTTTTATCTTTGGTTTTAAACAAATTGAATATCATGTGCCTTGGTTTGCTTCAGATTTCTTATGTTTGGGGTTTTTTTGAGCTTCTTGAATCTGGGAGTTTATAGTTTTCATCAAACTTGGAAAATTTGTGGGTGGGCCGTTACCTTTTAAAAATTTGTTTTCCTGCCCTTGCCCCCTTTTGGTACTCAATTTACATGACTATTGGACTGCTTAAAATTGTCCCACAACTCGCTGATACTGTGTACATTTTTTTTTTCAGTCTTACTTTTCTATATGTTTCATTTTTGATGGTTTCTATTGCTATACTTACTTTTCTTTTCTTTTTCTTTTTTCTTTTTTTTCTTTTTTGAGACAGGGTCTTGCTATGTTGTCCAGGCTGGAGTGCAGTTGTGAGACCATAGCTCACTGCAGCCTCAAATTCCTAGGTTCAAGTGATCCTCCTTCCTCAGTCTCCCAAGTAGCTGGCACTACAGGTGTGTGCCACATGCCTGGCCAAGCTGTTTTTTCTTTATTTTGTGTGACTATGTTGCCCAGGCTAGTCTTGAACTGCTGGCCTCAAGCAGTCCTCCCACGTTGGCCTGCCAATGTACTGGGATTACAGGCGTGAGCCACCGTGCCTTGTAAATATTTTTAAAGCTTGTGGGGATGAAGTCAAGATACTTGGAAGCAGCTTGATCTCCTCACCTGGGGGAACATTCTGGGCTCTCGGTTCCCCCTCCCTGTGCTGCCCCTGGAGACTCCAGGCAGTGGCGTGGGGCGTCTTTCACCTTGTGTCCCTTCCCTCAGGGGTCACCGCCTGTGCTGTCTGCTGTCCAAGATCTAAACACCATCTGGTCTTTGTTGTTCCCTACGGTTTTTATTTTCTTTTCTCTTTGTGGTTTTTAAATTAAAGTGTCTTTTTAGATGAGGTAATATATGATGGCTGAAAGAGTTAAACAGTCCTAGCAAGTTTGTAACGGCAACAAAGCAGTTCCCCGCCCACCTCTCCTTATCCCAGATCTCCGACTCCTGGAGAATGGGAATTTTGACTGTAGCTTTTCATTCTAGTATTTACCTCCATATGACATGTGTGTATGTCTGATTCTCGATTTTGCCATCTCACACATTACCATTGACTTTGCACAAAGGATAAAGCTTTCTTTCCTTCTGTTCTCTCCCCTCCCACGAGTTGCAGCCTTCCTTGCATCTTTATAAGTAAGTGGCATTTATAGTCTTTGGTTAAAACAACGTGATTATGGCTGCAAATAGTAACACATATAAATAGTGCTCTTAGCTAAGCCGCAGTGTAACAATAATTATGTTTCCTTTCTCGGGTCAAAATTTTTATTACAAATTGCTCATAATCGCTGTTATCTTTATTTACTTATTTTTATATTAATTGTCTGTCCCCAATGACAAGAGGGACCCCACAAGGCTGTCTGGACACTCTCTGTGTGGCTGTGGCTTACCAGCGAGGGTCTTACCGTGATCAGAGGGACGCCCCCTCACCAAGCCCCTCCATGCCCCCAGCCACAGCGCTCCTTCCAAAATGCTCGATCACATTAGGATATCAATCAGTGTTGCTTCATTCTCCAGACATGAATTGCTTGCTCTCTAGACGTGACTGTGGTCTAAGACTTCCCTTCACTGTTTTCCTGGGAATTCCTCCACTGGACTTCTTGTTCCTAGAGTCCTATGTCACTCTGCCTTCGCCAGTCCCCTCATTTTGATGGAGCTCGTATTTCAACAGCTTCCTCCAAAAGGTACATGAGACCTGGATGTCTTTGAAATCCCACAGGTGTGAAAAGGTCACTATTCTACTCTCACCTGCATGACAGTTTGGCTAGGTGTAAAATTCTTAGTTGGAGGCGTTTTCACGCAAAATTTTGGAGGCTTCTTCCCGTTGTCATCTGGTTTCCAGTGTTGCTCTTGAGAAGTCTGGGGGAATTTTGAGTTTCAATCCTTCCATATGTGATCCTTTCATTTTTTCTTGAAGAAGAAGGGGAGGTACTAGAAGCTTTTAGAATCTTCTCTGTATCCTCCAGTGTTCCAAAAATCTTTCAATACTATGTCTTAGTATGTGTCTGTCTGCACTCATTGACTTGCATGCTTTCTGGACCCTTTGAAATCAGAAACCCAGGTCCTTCAGGTCTGGACAAATGCCCTATATAATCTCTTTAAAAATTTCCTCCCCTCTGTTTTTCTGTTCCTTCTTTCTGGAACTCTGTTTTGTAGATATTAGACTTCCTGGATTGAATATTTATCTTTTCTTTCTTATTTTTCAGCTCTTGTCTTTTTGTGTTCTACTTTCTGGAAAGTTCCTTATTTTCCCAGATAGCTATATTGAATTTTTAATTTCCACAACTGTATATGTATATATATATATATATGTTTGTTTTATAGACATAGTCTTACTTCATCACCCAGGCTAGAGTACAGTAGCATGAGGATAGCTCACTGCAGCCTTGAACTCCTGAACTCAAGGGATCCTCCTGCCTCAGCCTCTCAAGTAGCTGGGACTACAGGTGTGCACCAGCACACCTGGCTAATTTTTCTTATTTTTTTAAGAGATGGGGTCTTTCTATGTTTACCAGGCAGGTTTCATGTATTTTTAAGTTCTAAGAGCTCTTGTTTTTTAGTGTTCTTTTTTTTAGGTTTTTAGTATAACATACATTTAGCAAAATGCACAACTGTAACTAACACATCAAGCAACAGAACTTAACTGTTTCACAGAAGCCCCCCTTATCGGCCTTCCAGGCAATATGTCTCACAGGAGCTAACCGCTAACTTTACCCCTAACACTAGAGTTTAGTTTTGCTTGTGTGACATTTACATCATGGAGTCATACACTCTATGCTCTTTTATGTCTGCAGCGTTATGTTTGTTTGACTCATCCATGTTGCATATGGTCGTAGTAAATTCTTTCTCGTTAGTGTGTAACGTTTCATTACGTCAATGTACCCCAATGAATTTATTCATTCTGCTGTTGATGGACACTGTACAATTTCCATATTGGGGTTACTGTGACTAGAGATGACATGAACATGCCAATATCGGGGTTTTGGTGAACACATGCACATGCTTCTGTAGGGCTTGTACCCAGAGGGGGAACTGCTGTGTTGCGGGGCAGGCATTAGCTTAGCCGTCGCACGTAACTGTCAAACAGCTTTCCAAAGTGGTTGTACCAATTTACACTCCAGTCAACAGTGTATGTTCCACAACTTCACCAACATTTGGTATTTTCTGTCTTTTCTGTTGTGGCAATTCTGATAGGTGTGTAATGGCATCTCATATAGTCTTGTTTGTTTAAATAGCTTGATTGAGATAGGATTTACATAGCATAAAAATCACCCGTCGTGACCATTGTAAGGTTGATTATTTTTAGTATAATGTATACAGCTGGGCAACTGTCACCACAATCCAGTTTTAGAATGTTCCCACTGCCTCAGAAAGTTCACATTTGCTGTCCTTCCTCCTCCCACATCCAACCCCAGACAACCACGGATCTATTTGTTCATGCAGTTTTTTTTTTTGGTTTTTTTTTTTTTTTTGAGACAGAGTCTCACTTTGTTGCCCGGGCTAGAGTGCCGTGGTGTCAGCCTACCTCACAGCAACCTCAAACTCCTGGGCTCAAGCGATCCTGCTGCCTCAGCCTCCCGAGTAGCTGGGGCTACAGGCATGCGCCACCATGCCCAGCTAATTTTTTCTATGTATAGAAAAATAATTTTTTCTAATTTTTCTAATTTTTTCTAATTTTCTGAAAATTTTCTAATTTTCTAAAAATTTTTCTAATTTTTTCTATTATACATAGAAAAAATTAGCTGGGCATGGTGGGCATGCCCAGCTAATTGGTGGGCATGGCCAACTAATTGCTTTCTATTTATAGTAGAGATGGGGTCTTGCTCTTGCTCAGGCTGGTTTCGAACTCCTGACCTCAAGCAATCCACCCACCTCAGCCTCCCAGAGTGCTAGGATTTACAGGCATGAGCCACTACGCCCGGCCTGTTCATACAGTTTTAATACAGTCTCTATGGGGGAATGAATAGTTAAAAAAAACAACCAAAAAAACATTTCCCTGACTAATAAAGCTGAATGCTTTTTCATATGGCTAGTAGCCACTGGGATATCCTCTTTTGTGAAGTTTCTGTTCAAGTTTTTTGACAATTTTTATATTGAGTTGTTTGTCTTTATTGATTCGTAGGATTTCTTTATATATTCTGGATATGAGCATTTTGTCAGATAAACATATTCTCAGTATATTTTCCCATTGTGAGCTTTGCCTTTTCATTCATGGTTTCTTTTGACAAACAGCACTTCTTTTTTTCTCACTCTCTCCGCACTTCCTAATTTTAATATAACCCGATTTATGTTTTTTCTTTTATGATTTAACGCATTTTGTGTCTGGTTTAAGAAACCTTTTCTACCCTAAGATCACAACGATGCAGTCCTATGTTTTTCTCTAAAAGCTGCATTCTTTGAACTTTCTGTGTGGATCTGCAATCCATCTGGAATCCATGTCCGTACGTGGCAGGGTGTCAATTCTCTTCTGTACAGGTATCCGGTTGAGCCAGCGCCTTTTATTGAAAAGGGCGTCCTTTCCCCAGTGACCTGCAGTGTGACCTTTGTCCTGGGCCAGGTGAACATCTCTCTCCAACTCCCTTCACTTCTGTCAGTCACTTTGTCTCTCTTGCCAATGCCACACAGCCGTAATTCCTATAGCTTTATAATTACATTCCTTTAAAAAAACAACATCCTGGGCTCGTTCTGCGAGTGCATTGCTTCATCCCTACAGGGATTTTGATGGTGCTTGCAGTTCTCCTCTGCCCGCACCCTGTCTTTCCTCCGAGCTCTTCCCTTGTTCGCCTTGGCCTCTGTGGCTGGTGCCAGCAGCCGTGCTCACGTGCGGGCGGTCCTTGCAGGTCCACTCGCTTCTAGAAGTGAAGCCCTATAAGAAGCCGACTGGAGACCCTGAGTGCGTGAACAGGGCATGGCATTTGGGTGGCCTCCTCGGGGCGACGCAGTCGGGCTGCTGCTCTTTTTGGGTCTTTCTCTCCGTCTGTTTAGCTTCTCGGTGGCGAACCCTCTGATCTCCCACCAGGATTCGATGCCAATGTCCCTGTGGGAAAAGCTGGGCTGGGTGTCTCACCCTTCCGAATGCCAACTTTAAAAAACTTCATCTAGGCCGGGCGTGGTGGCTCACACCTATAATCCTAGCACTCTGGGAGGCCGAGGCAGGAGGATCACTTGAGCTCAGGAGTTCAAACAGTTCAAGACCAGCCTGAGCAAGAGCTAGACCCTGTCTCTATATTAAAAAAAAAAGTAAAAAAACTTCATCTTTTCAGCACAGTGCCACCCTCTGTCACTGTGCCTGGCGTTCCTAATGCAGGGCCACCTCTGGCTCAAGCGTCCCCAGAGAGCGAGTCTCCGGCTTCCTTCAGGTTCCAGCTTGCTGTCACTTGGCAGCAGGGACTGGGGACGGGCCTGCTCCTTCAGGGACCTTCTGCAGTTCTCACTCCGCGGAGCCTGTCGGGGGCCGCCGTGAGAATTGATGCCTCCGTGCAGATCTGTGCTCTTCCTGCCTGCCTGTTCTCAGAATCCTCTGGTGGCTTCGCCAGAGCACAGGCGAAGCGAAACGCATGAGATGCCAGCTCTCTCCGCAACCCCGTTTCCTTTCACGATTTGTTTTCCATCTTCCAAATTTTTGTTGACACTCTCACCTGGTTAGGCCCCTCTCTCTTGTTCGGCCTGTTGGGTTTACCTTGTTTATGCCCTTGCTGTCAGCTTGGTTGGGTTTTGAGGGAGCGTTGGTTCTGTCGGTAACTGGGATGTCCCTCTGGGTATCTGCCCTCCCTGTTTCCTCTTTCTGGAATCCTCTTCCTTCTCTCTTCCCTTTAGTGGCTCGTTGTCATCCTTCCTTCACTGCTCCGCATGTCACCTCCTCAGAGAAGCCTTCCCTGAATGCTTCCGGTGTTCCACTCTCCCGTATCACCACCAAACTTTTGGTGCCCTTGACTGAGGGCAGGAGTGAGCTTCCCTGTGGAAGCGATCTCCTTGGCAGTGTTTATCATGCTTGTGAATTGCTTTACTTACTGATTGGTTTACTCACGTGCCTGGGCAGCGTGCTGGCACGCAGCAAACATCTGTACAACAGAGCAAAGGTTTAGCGGGAAAACAGCGCCACTTGCCTGGGCAGCAGGGGGCTGGCGGGCTGTGCGGGCCGGGGTGGGGTTCGGCTGCCCAGGGCCAAGGCTTGCAGGGGCTAGGCGAGGACTGTCCAGGCATCGGGCATCTGACCCCCTCCCCGTCCCCTGGCTGCAGACAGACCCTGTGCGGCTGACCCAGCTGTACGAGCAGGCTCGCTGGGACCTGCTGCTGGAGGAGACCGACTGCACCGAGGAGGAGATGATGGTGTTCGCAGCCCTGCAGGTGCCCGGCGGGCCTGGGTGTCTCGGGGCGGCTGGGGCGTGGGCCAGTCCCAGGGCAGGAAGGGCCTCCCAGAGTGGGGCCAGGCTCCGGGGCAGCTCAGCTTAGGGGCACTGTGAGGTGACTGGGCTGCCAGACTCAGCCCTCCCTGGCCACGTGCCCCACCCAGTACCACGTCAACAAGCTGTCCCAGAGCGGGGAGGTGGGCGAGCCAGCCGGCACAGACCCAGGGCTGGACGACCTGGATGCAGCCCTGAGCAACCTGGAGGTGAAGCTGGAGGGGTCGGCGCCCACGGATGTGCTGGTGAGGAGGGACTCGGGGCGGGTGCAGGTCAGGGCCAAGCGCGGGGGACCCAGGTATCCCTCTGACTCCTCTCCTGCCACAGGACAGCCTCACGGCCATCCCAGAGCTCAAGGACCATCTCCGAATCTTCCGGTGAGTGGGGCCCAGAGTTGGCAGCCCTGGCCCGTCTGGCAGCGGGAGGGAAGGAAGCATGGCCTTTCACAGCCCCGCTCCCTGCTCCTCAGGCCCCGGAAGCTGACCCTGAAGGGCTACCGCCAGTACTGGGTGGTGTTCAAGGAGACCACACTGTCCTACTACAAGAGCCAGGACGAGGCTCCGGGGGACCCCATTCAGCAGCTCAACCTCAAGGGTGAGTCAACAGGGCAGGGGCTGGGGGTGCCCACCTATGGGCTGGGCAGGTGAGTGCTCCCACCTGGCCTCAGCTTCCTCCTGGAGACCAGGGAAGATGCCCTCTGTCCTGAGGTGGCTGTGTGGGGCTGGCATGCACATGAGGACCGCTCAGGCATCTGTCCCCCTCCCCAGCCTCCTAGCCCACCCCTTCCTCTCCCTCCAGGCTGTGAGGTGGTCCCTGATGTCAATGTCTCAGGCCAGAAGTTCTGCATCAAACTCCTAGTGCCCTCACCTGAGGGCATGAGCGAGATCTACCTGCGGTGCCAGGACGTGAGTGAGAGCCGGGCAGGGGCTGCAGCGGGGACGAAAGCGGGCGCTGGGGCAGGGGCTGGCACCAGGCCTGAAGGGCATTAAGGACAGGGAGGGCGTGGGACCAGAGCTTGGTGAGCACCCCCTCCTCTGTCCCCCACTCCCAGGAGCAGCAGTACGCCCGCTGGATGGCCGGCTGCCGGCTGGCCTCCAAGGGCCGCACCATGGCGGACAGCAGCTACACCAGCGAGGTGCAGGCCATCCTGGCCTTCCTCAGCCTGCAGCGGACGGGCGGCGGGGGCTCGGGCAATCACCCCCAGGGCCCTGATGCCTCTGCCGAGGGCCTCAACCCCTACGGCCTTGTTGCCCCCCGCTTCCAGCGCAAGTTCAAGGCCAAGCAGGTGCCGGAGGGAGTGGGGGTTGAGGGTGGGAATGTCCACAGCATTTACCCAGCCACCCTGGACCCCTGGATCTTCACTGAGCCTTCCTCGGGAACGCCAGTGGTCACTTGTTCCTTCTCCGTGTCCCTGGGACTGTGCGGCTGGTCCCCACCTTCTGGGAGGGGTCACGGTCCAGTGCCCACATCTACCCCAGGGCCTGGCTCAGCTCACCATTGCGGAGTGGGAGAGGTTGCATTTTGGCAGCCCCGCATGGGACACTGCCCCTTCCCAGGCTCAGCATCCTGTCTCCCTGACAGGGGCAGGCGGGCGGGACAGGGAGAGTTGTCTCAGGGACTTTGGGGAGGGGAAGAGAGCCAGGCAGCCCCTCACCAGTGTGGTCCCACAGCTCACCCCTCGGATCCTGGAAGCCCACCAGAACGTGGCCCAGCTCTCGCTGACCGAGGCCCAGCTGCGCTTCATCCAGGCCTGGCAGTCCTTGCCCGACTTCGGCATCTCCTATGTCATGGTCAGGTGGGATCCCCAGCCCCGCCCTGCCCCGCCCAGCACTGACTCTGGCCTCATCTGCTGCCTGGCAGCTCCACACCCACATGCCAAGAGTGGGGTCCTGGGCAACCCCGAAGCCTCCCTTCCCTTGTCCTCTGTGGGCAGACCTTACTGAGGGCCCCCGTGGGGTCTCCCATTCTGCACCCCCACAGCAAACACAAGAGACAAGAGCCCAGGCCCCGGGTTAGCTGGCCTGCAGGACAGGACTAACAGTGGATGCAGTTACAGGCAGGCGCCCCTTTGATTCTTCAATTCCCAAACTGCAAAGACACGAGCGAGGCAACAGCTACTGCTGCTGCTACCAAAACCTAAAAAAAGTTACTACTTAAAGGCATGGACTGTTTGATGCTACTAAATGCTGTTATAAGATTATATCAATTAACCCCCATTTTCCAGATGAGGAGACCTAAATGGCTTGCTCAGAGTTGCAGAGCTGGGGAGCTGCAGAGCTGGGAAAGGGACACAGCTCTTACTCTGTCATGCTGGCTCTGGAGCACTGTGCCATGCTCTGGGTGGGCTCCAGACCATGCAGGGTGGAGCCCTTGCTCACTTTCTCTCCTCCTGGAGACCAGGTTCAAGGGCAGCAGGAAGGATGAGATTCTGGGCATCGCCAACAACCGGCTGATCCGCATCGACTTGGCCGTGGGTGACGTGGTCAAGACGTGGCGCTTCAGCAACATGCGCCAGTGGAATGTCAACTGGGACATCCGGCAGGTGGGCTCAGAGTGAGGGTAGGGATGGGGACAGGTGGCTGGGCCAGATCCGGCCAAGGCAGGGCATGGGCTGCTCCCTTGTCCCACCCACCTTATCCCCTCTGACTGCCCACCCTGCAGGTGGCCATCGAGTTTGATGAGCACATCAACGTGGCCTTCAGCTGTGTGTCTGCCAGCTGCCGCATTGTGCACGAGTACATTGGGGGCTACATTTTCCTGTCGACTCGGGAACGTGCCCGTGGGGAGGAGCTGGATGAGGACCTCTTCCTGCAACTCACGGGGGGCCATGAGGCCTTCTAAGGGCTGTCGGACTGCCCTGCCCTGCTCACCACGTGCCACAGCCACTCCCAAGCCCACACTCACTGAGACTCACTGTCCCATACCTGCTCCAGGCAGGCACTGAGCTAGGCACATTCACCTGCTGTCACTGGCTTTGTGCAGGTCAGGGACCTGGCTGTGCTAGACTCTGCCATCACCCAGGCTAGGGACAAGGGGCCCTGAGCTTGTGCAGCATCCCCTTCCCCTTGTCTGAGTGGCTGAGGTCAACACCCCTGACCTATGTGTAGTCCCTGAGTACACACACAAGACCAGATATAGCTACCAGATGATGAATCATGGTTTCAAACGAGTTTCTTTCTTGTTACTTTTTAAAATTTCTTTTTTATAAATTAATATTTTATTGTTGGATCATCCTCTTTCCTCTGGGGCTGTGCTTGGGGCCACTCTGACCCTCTGTCTCTTTATCACCAGCCAAGGAGAGGGGCTTTCCTGAGAGACAGAAAGGGAGACCTAAGTCATCCTGGGGCTGGAGGCTGAGAAAGAAGTTAGGGCAGAAGGACACAGGCTTCAGGCACAAAAATGGGGATGGGGGGGGGGCGTTCTCACGGGTGGGGCAGAGCTGCAGGGCCTCTTTGAAGTACTTGGGAAGCAGGAAGCCATCAGCATTCCCTGGAGTCAGGATCACCCCATTGGCAGAGCAGAAGAAGGGTATTCCATCTGCTGGCAGAGCTAGAGATGTGACTCATGCCCTCCTTGAAGGCCAAGGGCAGTCACAGCTGTGTCCAGGCTCACCTGCCAGGGCCAGGGGTCCATTGATGAACACAGCTATTTCACAGTTTGGTCGTATGCCTGCAGAGACAACTGGAGCTGGGGCCTGGGGCAGCTGAGAACCAGTCAGCAAACCTGGGCAGGCTGGGATCCTGGGCTGGGGGGCAGGGGGTGCTGCTCCATGAGGGTGTAGGGAGGCCTCAGACAAGGGAGGCTCTGACCCTTGGAGGGGACCTGGGAGGGCACTGTGGGAGGGAGTAGCTGGCAGGGAGGCACTGACCACTTATGACACCAGGGTCCCCAGGCAGTCCTGGGGCCAGGTGGATGTGCATCCTTCCCCGGCAGGACAGGCCCCTTAGCAGGATGGATGGCCAGTGCTTCCAAAATGTACCATGGACTAGCATCAGGGGCAGGGCCTGCGGCGTCTCCAGGGGAATCAGCTCCAACTCAGGTACCTGGTTGAACGGGCTGCAGTGAGACCTCCTTCACAGGCAGGGGTCCCATCTGCCTCTCCCACTTGTCCCCTCAGCTCCCACCTGCAGAGAGTGTCCCTGATTGGCCCGGATGAGAGGGCCTGTACTGGGATCCCCCGGCTGCAGGGCAAACCGCTGCTTCCCATTGGTGTCCACCACGCGCTGCACATCTTCAGCTGAGAAGCTGCGGAACTGGGGCAGCTGCAGGAGGGCATCCACAGGCACGAAGCCATCTGTGGACAGACAGGGTGCTCAGGAGACAACCTTGCTCTGGCCTGGGCCAGGGTTAACAGGGAGAGCCACAGGCAACTGGAACAACAAAGCCTCAGCTTGGGATCACATGGAATTTATCTTTGTGACCTTTAGAAAGTCTCCCCTTGGCCAGGTGTGGTGGCTCACGCCGGTTAATCCTAGCACTCTGGGAGGCCGAGGCAGGCAGATTGCTCGAGGTCAGGAGTTCGAAACCAGCCTGAGCAAGAGTGAGACGCCGTCTGTACTATAAATAGAAAGAAATTCATTGGCCAACTAATATATATATATAGAAAAAAATTAGCCAGGCATGGTGGTGGGTGCCTGTAGTCCCAGCTACTTGGGAGGCTGAGGCAGTAGGATTGCTTGAGCCCAGGAGTTTGAGGTTGCGGTGAGCTAGGCTGATGCCATGGCACTCTAGTCTAGACAACAAAGTGAGACTCTGTCTCAAAAAAAAAATAAAAAAGAAAGAAAAGAAAAGAAAGTCTCCCCTTTCTGGGCCTCAGTGTTTTCAACTTACGTGGAAAGTGGACCTGCCTCATGAAAGGTCACAAAGAAAAAGTGTTTAGCACAGCACCTGGCCTGGACTGGATACTCAAAAACATCAGATGCCAATACCCACCAGTGCACACCACTGGGATAAGTGTTTATGGAGCCACTTGGCTGGAGGGGGCATCACCAGGCCTGGCCCAGACAGGGGCTCCTCTCCCAGTCTGCCATGGACATGAGACAGGGCCCTGGGCCTAGGTCTTCGCTGTGCATGGGGAGCATGTGCCCTCTGTGCCTTCTTCATGGGGCAGTGGTGGAATCCATGGGGCAGAGGTCACAGACAGACTCACATTGCTCCCTGGGTGCAAACCACTCCCCACCCAGTCTCTAAGACCCTCACTTACCGGCCCCCATAGGAAGTCCCAGCTTCAAGGCCCCATGTCGCAGGGCATAGGACAGAGCCTTGGATAGCTGAACATCTCGGTCCTGAAAAAGCCCAGAGATGGCCCTGATCTCCATGATGACCATGTCCTGCTGCCCACACCAAACATGAGAGATTGATAGCCAAGGGGGACCAGAGGGAAGAATCCCAGTGATCTCCCCAAATAATATTACCATCAGCCCTCCACCCCCACCCCACCAGCCTTTCCCTGGGAGCCTGAGCTCAGAGTGTCCCTCCCCTGCCCTCCCACCATGGGGGTGGGGGGAACACACCTGTTCCCGGGGTCTGTGAGCCCTTCTGCCCCTGGGCCCTGCTGCTTCCTGCCTCCTTTCTCCAGAGGAGTACATGGCCGAGACCTGTGGGGAGCACTGCAGTGTGAGGACTGCTTTGAGGACCATCCCATGTTCCCACCCTGCCTAGAAAGCCACAAAACCTCAGCATGTGAGAGCTGGGAGGGGGATATACAGCTCACTAAATTCGCTTCCCACCCCCAAATCCCTGGTGCAGATAGGGAGACTAAGGCCCAGCGGGCAACACTTGCCCAAGGTCACACTGTCAGCCACAGAGCCCAGGGAAGCCGAGCTCCTGCGCTTCGGGCTCGCGGGCGTGTTTCTCAAGGCCCGCCCCGGCGTGCCCCAAGACCGGGCGGAAGCGTCAGGACCGGGACCCACAAGCTGGTCTACCTACCGCGGCCAGCGCCCGGCCCGGCCAATGAGAAGTCGCGGAAGGAGGGGGGCGGGCACTTCCGCTCGGGGAAGGGGCGGAGCCTGCGGGGTTGGTCGGCCTGCGAGCCGGGCACCTGCTGGAGGCGGGAGCTTCCGGACCCTGGGAGGGGGTCCCCGCGCGTCCGAGGTGGAGGCAGGACCCCTGGGTGTGGAGGCCATGGGCATTTGGGGGTGGAACCCGGGATCTCTGGGTGGTAGGGATACCTGGAGTCCCAGGCATTTCTAGCAGCAGGAGTCCCGGGTACCCAGCAGGACTCCGGGCTCTTGCGGGGATGATAGGACAGCTTACTGCCCAAAGAGTGGTCAAGGGCATGTAGAAGAACTGAGGGTTCCCTCAGAAGATCTCTGACAGAGGAAGCCAGCTGCTCGCCCAGGGGTCACTGTGCCCCCCCGAACCCCCCCTACAGGCCTGGCTGTGTCCTCCCCCAGAGCTGCCCTGTCCCAGCCCATGGATCCTGAGGTATCCCTGCTGCTGCAGTGCCCTCTGGGCGGGCTGCCCCAGGAGCAGGTACTGGCCGAGCTGAGTCCAGCCTACGACCGTCGCCCACTACCAGGTGGGGACAAGGCCATCACTGCCATCTGGGAGACCCGGCTACAGGCCCAACCCTGGCTCTTCAACGCCCCCAAGTTCCGCCTGCACTCAGCCACCTTGGTGCCCATTGGCTCACAGAAGCCACAGCTGCTCCTGCGCCTGGGCCTTACTTCCTACAGAGACTTCCTGGGCACCAACTGGGCCAGCTCAGCTGCCTGGCTGCGACAGCAGGGGGCCGCTGATTGGGGTGACAGACAAGCCTATCTAGCGGACCCACTGGGGGTGGGCGCTGCACTAGCCACTGCAGATGACTTCCTTATCTTCCTGCGCCGCTCTCGGCAGGTGGCTGAGGCCCCTGGGCTGGTGGACGTGCCTGGTGGGCACCCTGAGCCTCAGGTGAGGTGCCAGGCTGAGCACAAAGACCCAGATAGCTCAGAGAGCTTTGGCTCTCAGCCCTCCCAGCTTTAGTTTCCTCATCTGTAAGGGGAAAATTGGACTGGTGTTTCTCTGAGAGTTTGCTTGGGACAGCCCTGCAGCCTCCCCACTGACCCCTGCCCCAGGCCTGTGGGAAGCTAGGAAACACAGGGTGGGGGATGGGGGAGGTGGACAGAGGAAGAAGATATCCCATCCCACCCCCAACGCTTCATGTGACCCCTTCCTAGCTGGACCTCTGGTTGTCCACCTGGAAAAGGAAGGGCTGGGTTAGGGTATCACCAAGACTCTTATACCATGCCCACACCACATCCTCAGAGCCAGCGAATATGGGGGGACACAGGGCAGGAGAAGGTGGGGAGCAGGGGCTGAGCCTGACCTCTTGCAGGCCCTGTGCCCTGGTGACAGCCCCCAGCACAAGGACTTCCCTGGGGAACTGGTGGTACGTGAACTCTTCTCCAGTGTCCTGCAGGAAATCTGTGATGAGGTGAGTGAGAGTGACCTAGACAGAGTTGTGGGCATGAAGGGAGGGAATAGAATTTGCCAGAATTCCACAAGTCTGGGCTGGCAGGAGGGTCTGCAGGCATCTGGCTGGCATTAGGGAAGAGCTTGGCTTTGCAGCTAGGCACACTAGGTAGAGAATTCTAGCCCTCAATACTCTATGCCTCAGGTCCTTCCTCTTTACAATGGAGACAATGATGAATGTCTTGCCTGTTCCCCAAGTTTGTTGAGAAAGGATTAAAAGTCCCAGTTACTAAACTGACTTTCCTTGGGCAACCCTGGGTAACTGGTTCAATCTCTCTGGATTCAACTTTCCCATCTGCAAAATGAATATGCCTAAGATCTGACATTCTGTGGTGCTGGGTGCTTGACCTACAAACTGTAAAATGCTGTACAAGGTCAACAGGCTGTTTTCCATTGAGAGGGTCAGAGATGTGGGCAGTGGGCACTGACAGGTGGGACCCTCTGGCCCAGGTGAACCTGCCACTGCTCACCCTGAGCCAGCCCCTGCTGTTGGGCATCGCACGCAATGAGACCAGTGCCGGCCGAGCCAGTGCTGAGTTCTACGTCCAGTGAGTGGGCTCTGGGGCACATGATCCTGGGTCTTGGGGAGGTGGGTGGCTGAGGCAGCTGGGACTCCACAGGGTCCCTACAGGGGCTGGTCTCCTATCAAGCCACCTTCATGTTCTTGTCCAGGTGCAGCCTGACTTCTGAGCAGGTGAGGAAGCACTACCTGAGTGGGGGACCCGAGGCCCATGAGTCTACAGGAATCCTCTTTGTGGAGACACAGGTGTGGGGAGGCAAACTGCATCTTGTTTGGACGCCAGGGTTGGGGTCCACAAAGAGGCCTGGTGATGCATGTCTTGGGGGAAGAAGTGGCTGGGTTGCACAGGGGACTCCCCAGTCTCTCAGAGTTTCCTCCAGAGTCACAGACTTGCCATCAGCCCAAGGGAAAGGTCCAGGCCTGTTCAGCCCTTCAGCATGTCTCCCTAGGGATACTGCAGTGCAGAGGGCTCCGAGGCTCAGGAATTCTGGGTACCTGCAGGAGGTGTGATAAGGGCTGGATGTGTGGGTCTCATTGTCTCTCACAGAATGTGCAGAGATTGCAGGAGACCAAGATGTGGGCTGAGCTCTGCCCCTCCGCCAAAGGCGCTATCCTCCTCTACAACCGGTCCAGGGAAGTCCAACCTGAGTGGCCCTAGGGTCTCCAGTCCTACCACCAACGCTCTGAAGACAATAAAAGACTTTATTCTTTGATTCTGTTGGCATCTGCTATTTCGTGAGACAGAGAGGGGTGCTGGGTGAGCCCTGGGTGTATGAGACAGACAGGACAAGTGACATGAAACCCCCCCCCCCCAGAGACAGGGTGAGGTGGCTCACGCCTGTAATCCTAGCACTTTGATAGGTGGAGGCTGAAGGATCACTTGAGCCCAGGAGCTGGAGACCAGCTTGGAACAGATAGCGAGATCCCATCTCTACAAAAAAATGAGAAAAACTAGAGCGTGGTGGCACATGCCTTTAGCCCAGCCACTGAGGACGCTGAGGCAGGACCTCCTGGAAGTTGGAGGCTGCAGTGAGCTATGAGGACGCCACTGCACCCCAGCCTGGGAAGGCTGTTGCCAGGCTCCAGGACGATTATGGGGTAGAAGCACCTCTGTGAAATGGGCCTCGCTGCAGAGCGGAGCAACAGCCACGTCCGCTGAACGGAGGGACGGCAGCTGGACTCACAGTCTCCCTGACGGCCAGGCTCTGACTGGCCGCTACCCAGGCGGGCGCTCGCGCAAGTCCGCACGTCCTCAGGCGGCGACTTTGGTGGGTGGGTCTGAGGCGTCAAAAGCCAATAGCCGCACGGGGGCGGGGTCGCCGCGCCTTCCCGCCTGTTGGGAGTGGCCTTGGCTCCTAAGCCAATGAGGGTGGGGGGAGGCGGGGCCTGGCTAGGCGCCGGAAATGGCGTTCCGGAGTGCGGCGGGGGCGGGGCCTAGTTGTGGCTCCTCCTTCCCCCGTCCCCGGGCTCCCCAGGCGGTTATGGGGGGTCCCAGCGTCGCTGACTGGGTGTTCAGATACCGAGGCCAGTGCGGGGAAGGACCTCGGACGCCCCAGTCAGATGCGGGGACGAGTCCAGGACACGAGGGTCTGCTGCTGAGCAAGAAGGCCGCCCCGGGCCTGCGTCAATCTTCCTTCGCAAGAAAGCGGAGCCAAGCCCCTTCCCTCTGCCCTCGGGGTACCTGAAGCCTGGCCCCACCCTGGTCCCAATGCACTCTTGGTGGCCTCCTTTCCCCAGCTGCCCGCCCACCACCATGCGGCTCCTGCTGCCCCTGCGCCTAGGCCGTCTGTGGCCCCGCAGCCCTCCTACTCGGCTCCTCGGAGCGGCCGCCGGGCAGCGGTGAGTTGGGCTCCGGGGGCCAGGCCCAGTGGTTCAGTGGTTTCTGTTGCCTATATACTGAGATAGCTGTGGTCTCTGCTCTGTGTCCGGTGCCTTACAGCCTTGGCTCAGGTAACCTTCACCTTCACTGCTGAGGACACTGGGAATCAGAGGTAAAGAGACAACCCCAAGATCACACAGCGATTTAAGGGGCAGATCAGGAATTTGAGCCCAGGTCAAACGCAATGCTCTTCCCCCAACTCTAGCAGTTGCCAAGCATCACTGTGCATAACTCACTTGGGGAGGCGGGGGTGTGGGGTACAAAAATGCAGCTTCCTGGGCCTTGCTCTGGAGATTCTGAACTGGAGGAATGAGGTGGGTGGGGCTCAGGAATCTGTCTTTTTAAACAAGTTTTTCAGGTATTTCTGATGCTAGGGATGTGAGGACTACACTTTGAGAGGTCCTGGTCTGCACTATGCCTGAAACACTGCAAAAGAAAGGAGCTATCTGCAGATCTGTCTTGGGACCTGTCTTAGCCCTCAGCTTCTGGTGGCTAAATTGAAGGGTGTGGCCCAAGGAGGCTGGGAGGGGCAGGGCAGGGGTATCCTCTGGGTTCCCTCAGCCCCTACAAGTTTGGGACTCTCTCCACAGGTCCAGCCCCAGTAATTATTATGAACTGTTGGGGGTGCATCCTGGTGCCAGCACTGAAGAAGTTAAACGAGCGTTTTTCACCAAGTCCAAAGAGGTACCAGTGCTCCTAAGATGGGTAGAGGGGAAGAGGAAATATGAGCACAAGTTCCCAGGAGAAGACCTGTGTCTCTGGCTGATGCCACATCTCTTCAGCCTGCAGAGGGAGTGGGAGGCACTCAAGGGGCAGGGGTCTGGCTAGGTGGGAGGAAAGGCTGGCAGCCAGGGATCCTGTCTGCTGGGCTGGGCTTGCCTGCTCTTGAGGACTTTGGGCCAGGGCATATGGTGACAGCAGGGGGTTGACAGGTAGGAAGGGGCAGGGGTCTGTGCTTTCTGACTCTCTGGCCTTCTGGAGGGGTGGACAGCCCTGAGAGTGAGGGTCACTGGCTAGGCAAGGTCCTCTGGGAATGATTGGAGCCCTTGTTGGTGTACCAGTCCTGGGAAAGGGGATAAAGGGGAGTCCTGCCCCCCCCCAGCTACATCCTGACCGGGACCCTGGGAACCCAACCCTGCACAGCCGCTTTGTGGAGTTGAGTGAGGCATACCGAGTGCTCAGCCATGAGCAGAGCCGCCGCAGCTATGACCACCAGCTCTGCTCAGCCAGCATCCCGAAGTCTCAAGGAAACACAGCCCACCACAAATCTGCCCACCAAACACACAGGTACAGTCATCCTGCCCCCAAGCTTGTTCCCACACCCAGGTCTCCTGAGGAGGCTTATCACCACACTATCCCTTCCTCTGGCTCCTAGCAGCTCCTGGGCACCCCCCAACGCACAATACTGGACCCAGTTTCATGGTGTGAGGCCGCAGGGGCCAGAATCGAGACAGCAGCAACATAAACTCAACCAGCGAGTGGTAGGGTATTGTCTCCTGCTCATGCTGGCAGGCATGAGCCTGCATTATGTCGCCTTCAGGTACTCCTGTCCTCCCCTGGGTTGATGGGCCTAGGGCAGGAGGTTAGGTGAATCCCAGTGTGGTCTGCCATCCACAGCACTCTATGGCCTGCACTCTTGTATTTCTCAGGCTAAGAACTGCATGAAATCAGTCTTTGGAGCCTCCCTTACTTGGTAAAAGCAGCACCGCATGAAGTGCTAATGTTTCATTTTCAGTTTTTCATCATTTGAATGTAAATCCTTGGTGCTGGCTGCCAGAGAGGGCTGCAGCCAACCAGAATCATGTACAAGAAGCAAATGTGTTGGAACTGGGCCTCTCTAGCAACTGTCCTCATTCATTTGGCAGTCTCCCCAAAACTTTCTCACCCCATCCATGAAGTGGATTTTCCACAGCAAAGATACTTAAAGGCCAGTGGCCTCCACTAGCAGCTGCCCAGTTCAGAGATAGAGTTAGACGTAGGTACAAGCTTTTCTAGTCTCCTGGGAGGAGCACTGCCATGTCCACAGCTGCTGTCACCACTTTTAGCAGGACAGCTAGGGACTTGGGGTGCCACTGGACCCCGGACAAGCCAGGCCACTCTGTGTCCTTCTCCCCACCTATCCCTGCAGGGTTGGGATGAGGTCCCCACAGATGTAAAGCTGTGAGACGGTAGAGTGGGGTGGAGTGAGATAGGACTTGAGGGACAGGAGGGACTGGAGTCCCAGGGTTAACTGTGACCCCCTTGCAGGAAGTTGGAACAGATACACCGTAGCTTTATGGATGAAAAGGATCGGATCATCACAGCCATTTACAATGACACTCGGGCTCAGGCAAGGTCTGTCCCTGCTCTATTCTGGTCCCTGCTCCCTGTCCTTGGCACCACCCTCTGGGATTCTTGTCCCAACCTCTCAGGTGCTCTCTCCCCCAGGGCCAACAGAGCCAGGCTCCAGAAGGAGCAACTGCAGAAGCAGCCACCACCACCCGGGCCTCCCCAAGGCTCTGGGATCCTGACCCCGGGCACCAGCACCTGAAGAGCTCACCTGGGTGGGGCCCGCTCTGTGCGCCCTCCTGGCTTCCTTCCCAGGACTCCCCACTTCCCAAAACACGTGCAATAAAGTGATTTTCAGAGCTCGTGTCCTGCTCCCTCCTTCAGGCTCAGCGCCCCTCGCTCCGGCCTTGGGGCAGCGCCCCGACCTCCGGGTTCTTGGGGCGGCGACCCGGGAGCCCAGCCCCCTGGGCGGTGCGTCCCCTTTCCCCCAGCCCAGCGGCCGGAGGGGGTGTGTGGAGGGGCGGGCCCCGCCGGCGGCCCCACCGCCCCGCCCCCGCCCACCCGCCCGGTGGGGAGCGCGTGTCTGGGTCACATGAGCGCCGCCCGCACCCGGGCCCGGCCCGCCGTCCCGCCGTCCCGGCCGCGCGCCGCCCCGCACGCCCCCGCCCCCCGGCTCCTCCGGCCGCGCCGCTTGTGCTGCTGCGCTGCCTGCCGCCAGGGCTCGGAGGGGGCCGCGGAGGAGCCGCCCCCCGCGCCCGGCCCGCCCGCCGCGCCCGGCCGCGCGCCATGGGGCTCTGGCTGCCGCCGCCCCCTGCGCCGCCGGGCTAGGGCGATGCGGGCGCCCCCGGTGCGTTGCCCCCGCGGGCACCATGAGGCCCCTGCTCCGCCGCCTGCTGCTCGCCGCGCTCCTGCAGCTGGCCCCCGCCCAGGTACGTGCGTCCCGACATCCCGCCCTCCTGCGGTGCCCTCTCTCAAGGTTGGCGGAAGTGGGGAGGCGCCGAGCGTCGTCGACTGGGGGATACGCGGGGTCCAGCCTCCAACGCGAGCACCTCGGGGACCCAACCCAGGCATCCCCTGGGAGGTGTCCCTCCCCGCCGGCCCGCCAGCCCAGCCCCAGGGCCACTCCTCCGCCCCACCCCGTCCTCTGGGCGCCGCCGGGGGCGGAGCTGCCTCAGCGCCCGCGGAACCTGGTTCTGCGCCCACTGTGCCTGCTCCTGACCTGCAGCCCCCAGAACAAGCCGGGCGAGGCTTGGAGATTTGACACCGCCAACAGAGTGTGCCTGTCGGGTCTTGGGCCAGGACAGGCCCCAGGTCCCCGGGAACAAAGCAATCTGGAAAGATGTCAGAGAGGTGGTGAAGCCACCCAATGTGAAGGCAGAGCCCTGGGGACAGTGACCCCTCCTGGAGTGCACCTTGGGTCCAGGTCTCTTCTCTCCTACAGGCCCCTCTCTCCCAGCCTGATGCCCCTGGCCACCAGAAGAAAGGTAATGGTTACATTAACGTGGCACTAGCCAGCACTAAGAGGGTTTGCCATGTGCCCTGATTCCAGGCTCCTTGTTCCATCATCTTGTGTAAATGCAACTCTCCTGTAAGAGGAAACTATTATTCTGCCCATATTACAGAAGAGGAAATTGAGGCAGTGAGGCTACTGGGATCTGGATAAACAGGACAGAGGAAGCCAGGTTGGGAGGGCAGAAAGGAGATGCAGAAGGAGGGCTAGTGGAAGGGACTGGGGAGGACAGCTGCTGGGAGCAGCTACAGGAGACCCAGAGTGGGCTTAACCCTGTCCCGTCTGCCCATAGTGGTATCATGGATAGACGTGTATGCTCGTGCTACCTGTCAGCCACGGGAGGTGGTGGTGCCCCTGACTGTGGAACTTATGGGCACTGTGGCCAAACAACTGGTGCCCAGCTGTGTGACTGTGCAACGCTGCGGTGGCTGCTGCCCTGACGATGGCCTGGAGTGTGTGCCCACTGGGCAGCACCAGGTCCGGATGCAGGTACTGGGCAGGTGGAGCCACAGGCTGGGATGCATGTTGGCACTCTGGGGGCGGGGCCAGCCCAGAGACTGAGGCACAGGAGGCTGAGGGGTCAGTGGTCAGGGTCCTAGCTGTTGGGCAAGCTTCTCTCCCTCCAGCCTTGGAGCGTCCCCTTTCTCTTTCCCCATCTCCCTCACTCTCTCTCTCATTCTCCTGAGCACAGATCCTCATGATCCGGTACCCGAGCAGTCAGCTGGGGGAGATGTCCCTGGAAGAACACAGCCAATGTGAATGCAGGTGCCAGCCAGGCCCAACTTCTGAACTCACAGAGCCCAAGCTTGGGGGGTGTCGGGTATGGTGGTTCACTGCAGTGGGGACCAGGTTTCTAAGAATAGAGCCAGGGGTAGGCCTCAGCTCTGGGACAAGAGAGTAGGATGCTTGGATTTCCTGATCCTCCTCCTTTTTGTCTCTGTCTGTCTCTTATTTTTCAGACCAAAAAAAAAAGACAGTGCTGTGAAGCCAGACAGGTGAGTGTCTTCACTCCAGCTGAGGAGGGAACGGGATGTACAAGTGAGTCAGGAAGTTGTGGTCCCCTCCCTTCCTCCTTCTCCCACCTGTCTCCTTCCCCTTTTCCTCTGCTCCCCAAATTTGTGTGCTCTGCCCTGACCCCAGCTCCCGGGAAGACTCTTCTTTCCCACCCCAGACATGTTGCTTCTCCTCCTAGGGCTGCCACTCCCCACCACCGTCCCCAGCCCCGCTCTGTTCCGGGCTGGGACCCTGTCCCCGGAGCACCCTCCCCAGCTGACATCACCCATCCCACTCCAGCCCCAGGCCCCTCTGCCCACGCTGCACCCAGCGCCGCCAGCGTCCTGACCCCCGGACCTGCCGCTGCCGCTGCCGACGCCGCAGCTTCCTCCGTTGCCAGGGGCGGGGCTTAGAGCTCAACCCAAACACCTGTAGGTGAGTAGTCTTCCGGATGGCATTTGTTTGGGAAGGCATGAAGGCCCTGTCCTGGAGCAGGTCCAGGGTGAGCCTGCCAGTGGGAGGAGGGCCAGAGAAGAGGAAGCTATTGAGTGTGTTGAACAAATATTTACCAAACGTCTGCTGGCACTGGGCTCAACATGAACAAGGCTCACGTTCTAATGCAGAGTGGGACAAGAGGGGAGATGGTGCCAGCAGAGGATGTCCAGGGCTGTGGTGAGGGGCACCTGACCTCATCTTTGAGAGGTCTGAGATCTCTGGAGGAAGTGACATCTGTTTTTCCAATTTGCAAAGTTTGGGTTTTCCCAGAAGCCCCTGTGATAGACATTTGCTCTACCTTATGAGCTCCGAGAGGTGAGGGGACATGGCAGAACCCTTGTCTGTGGTGCTTCTTGCTACCCCTGCATCCCGTGGTGAGGCCAGGCCAGTGGGGGCTTCCTACGAGCGTCAGGAGAGAATAGGGCTCACAGAGCTAAGGAGGGAGTAAAGCAAGAGGAACCAGGGCTGAGCTCCAACCAGCACGAACAGACTCCTTCCTCTCTTCAGGTGCCGGAAGCTGCGAAGGTGACACATTGCTTTTCAGACTCGGCGGGCCACTTGCCTCATAGGCCACACCCCAGTGGGGGAAGAGAGCGGAGCCTGGTGAGAACAGTCCAGCCCCCAAGATCTCAGCCCAGGCAGAAGCTGCTCCAGGACCTGGGCCTCTCAGAGGGCTCCCTTGCTGTCCCTTGTCTCCCGGAGGCTGTCGTCTAACAGGGTAGGCAGAGTTGGAGGAGGAGACTTGGAGGCACAGCAAGAGTGTTCATATCCCAGCTTAGGGGAGAAAGGGGTACTGTCTCAGTTTTTAACCATCCTGTATAAGTGAACATCTTACAACTTGCTCCTCCCTCCCCTCACTAAGAAGACCTCAAACCTCTGCGAATGATGGGGTTGGGCTTTGGTACAAGAACTGTGATCTCCCCCCAACCCTGATAAAAGACATGGAAGGAGATGTCCCTGCCTGTGTCACTATTCGTCACCGTCCAGGCTGGCTAGTTTGGGCATCACTGCCTTCGAGAACCAGAGCTCGTCTTAATCCCTCGTGCAGATGGAGGAAGTGAGGCCCAGGGCCCACAGCAGAGCCCAGGCATCCAGAATTGTGGACTCGTCACTCATGCTGTTAGCACTGGGCACTGGGGACAGGGAGGGCCCAGGCAATGCAGGGGTCTGTGCCTGCTGGTCACAAGGATTCCTTGCTGGAAGGAGATGGTGTCCTAGGCCAGTGCACTTGATGTGGGACTCAGATCAGCTGAGTGACCTTGGCTGTCTTTGCCCGTCTTTCTGACCATTTTTCCACGTGTGTACATGGAGGGAACAGAGGACTGCTGTGGTTGGGGCCCTTGGGCTCCAGAGATATTTAAGATTTTATTCACAAGATAGGAAAAAACATCTGTTTTCCCTGCTGGGCAGCACTTTCAGTGTTTGCTGCTTTTTGCTCCCTGTAGTTTAACTCTAAAGCCACACACCTCAGTGCTATCTCCCAAGGGGAAGCGTCAAGCCTCTGGCCAGTAGGCCTGGTTTGGGAAACAGGGTTCCCTCATCCCAGCCCAACAGTCTTCCTTGCCTTCACCTTCTTCATGCCGTCTGGCTCCCCTCTTCAGCTGCTGCTTGAGACTCCTGGCTTGTCCCACCCAGCCCAAGCTCAGTGTCCACCCTTCTCCCTGCAGCCCAGTGCCCAGGGCTGGAGTGGTGACATGGTGGACAGGCCAGCCTTGGCACCAGTGCTTTTACCCGTTGAGGCAGGACATCAGGGGCGGAGCTAACTCAAGACCGCCACCCTACTGGAGGCTTTCTCTGATGGGTTGGAGGGAGCAGTTTAAACCGGAAGAGACAGTTCCTGACAGTATTAATACTTTCCAGTCATTTTCTCAGCCATGATGTCACTGATCGTACCCTTGGCCAGTTAGAGTGAGGCAGACCAGAGCAATACCAGATATGCATAGTGCTTCATGTGCACCCTCTTGCTTTCTCGATTCTGAGGCCAACACCCTATCTTCCTTTTCCAATTGAGGAAACAGAGTCAGAATGGCTACCTGGCCTGGGATCTGTAGACATTCTCCCTAACCCTCAGCCTAGGCTTAGCTGCTTCTCAAGTGCAGGTTCATTATCTCAGCTGACAGATGTTTTATGGGAGCTGGCGGGCCAGAAAATAACAGTCCGGGGAGGGAACGGGCGGAGCCAGACCATTGCAGTCCTGCCGCGCAGTGCGGTGCAGTGCCCAGGTGGAGGTAGGCCTGGCAGCCAGGGAGGGCAACAAGCAGGAGCATCTGCTGTAGGCCAGGGCCTGGCGCCGCACATCGTCTCGGTCCTGCTCGGGCACTGTGGGGGTGGGTGTTACCAAGCTCATGTCGGACACCAAATTCTACCAAGGTCACACAGCCAATTCGTGGCAGCCCTGGAATTCAAACCTAGGTCTCCGTGAAGCCCAGACTCTTCCCACAGCAAGTCCTGAGGACTGTGGGCCATGAGGAGGCCAGGGGCCAGCAGGAGCGCTGTGTGAGAGGCTGGGGCGACGAAAACGCTGCCTCAAGACCACCTCCGGGAACCCACGCCCAGCTGACCTTAATGTCATTTCGGCCGGAAGTACCTTCGGCCTTTTCGGATGTCGCCCTTACACACCACCTCTGCCGGAAGTGACGCAAGTCACGTGGCAGCGCGGAAGGCGGAGCTGGGGAAGAAGCCGCGCCGGCGGGCGTGTAGGAGTGGGTTCTGCACGGTCCAATGAGGGAGGGCGGCGTGGCCCGGCCTGGTAGCGACGGGGACGCGCCTGCGCAGAGGCGGTAGCACGACCGGGGTTGACTCCGGGGGCGCGGCGAGGAGGTGAGAGGGGGCCACAGCCCGGGCTAGGCGCACCCGGGGTACAAGGGGGCAGGCTGGATCAGACCGGGCAGAAGCGGGCCGGGGCACCGAGTGTCAACGAGAGCTAGGTGACGAGGAAATTGGCGGTGGGGGTCGGAGCTGTCTGGAGATGCCGCAGGGGGAGGGTTCTCACGCCGCACGGGGCGGAGCCCTGGGACTCGGGGCGGGACGAGGAACTGAGACGGGTGGGACCTCCGAGCCGGTGCCAGTGGAAGGCGGAGCCCGGCGGCTGGGGGCGGGGCTAGAAGGGTTGAGGGGCGGAGCCTGGCTCGAGAAGGAGGAGCTGGAACAGGTGGAAGGCGGAGTCTCGGGTTTGGCGACAGAAGGGGACGGAGCGCAGGCGCTGGGGGCGGGCCCTCAGCTGGTGAGTGGCGTGGCTGCGGTTCCGGAAGAGGGGTCTAGCTCTGTCGAGGGCGGGGCTGCAGGGCCAGGGGCGGAACCGCGCGCACTAAAGGGCGGGGCCAAGGAAAGCGAAGAGCTAAGCCCAAGTAATGGCCCGGGGCGTCCACGCGGGGGCGGCCTCCGTGGTGGCCGGGCCTGGGGACGCGGTAGGCCGAGAACTCCTCCCGGAGAGGTGGTATGGGTCGAGCGGGCTCGGCGGCCAGCAGACACAGGGCCAGTCTGGGTGCCCCGGAGACCCCCGAGAGCTCAGAGCTGGGGCGGCGCCCCGGGCGGAGGCACAGGGCCGGGCTGGGGGGTACCTCCGGAGGACCGGGGCTCTTCGGAGCCACCCAGCGGGGATGTGTGGGTGCCTCGGGGCCGACCCCCTGCAGCGGCCGCAGAGGTGTGGGTGTGCTGGGCCGGGGGCAGCTGGGTGTGGCGTGAGTGGGGCCGCCCAGTCGGGGCAACTGCTGCGCAGTCAGATAGGGTCTGGACTTTGCGTAAAGGAACGGGTGGGAACTGAAGAGGGGAAGTGGGAACTGGGAGGGAGGGAAGGTCTGGGGGTGAGTAAAGGGGCGGGGCCCTGGCTGCTGTGGCCTCCCCTGACCCCCTACCCCCGCTGCTGGGGTCCTCGGCCAAGCCCCCTTCTGTCTGGACTGGTAAGTGTGGCCGTGGAGCCCAGGGGAGAGGGCGGTGACCCGGGAAGAGGGGATCCCCAAGGGCAGGCAAGGTACGGTGGGGTGGAATCCTTCTGGTACCTGCCCACGTTCCATGCCTTTCCTGCCCTCCTCCCGGTCAGTCGGTCTGTCGGGGTCTGTGCCTGCAGAAACATGAGGCTGAGCTGGGTCCTGACAGTACTATCCATCTGCCTGAGTGCCCTGGCCACGGCTACGGGGGCAGAAGGCAAACGGAAGCTACAGATTGGGGTCAAGAAGCGAGTGGACCACTGTCCCATCAAATCTAGAAAAGGGGATGTTCTGCACATGCACTACACGGTGAGTGATGGGGGTGGAGCTTTGGGAGGCGGGTGGGGCTTCTGGGGACCAGAAAGGACTTGGAAGTCTGGTTCCTCCACCAACCAGGTGGGTGACCTTGGGCAATTCCCCTCTCTCCTCTAAGCCAGTCTCCATGCTTCCACCTTGCCCTTCACTGTCTACTCTCCAGGTGGGCATCAGCAGGCAGTGACAGTGTGCTTTGAGCTGCCCAGGGCTCTGTCCCCTTCAAGGACTATAACCACCAGTGCTATGGGGGCCAGCTTGATGGGGAGAGCAACTGAGGGAGGTTGGGGTGGTCCTCTCCTCCTGACTGGCTTTCCCATGGTCCCACAGGGGAAGCTGGAAGATGGGACAGAGTTTGACAGCAGCCTGCCCCAGAACCAGCCCTTTGTCTTCTCCCTTGGCACAGGCCAGGTCATCAAGGGCTGGGACCAGGGGCTGCTAGGGTGAGTCTGGGGCCAAGGTGGGGTGTGCATGACCATGGTCCAGGAGGTGAGCTGTGGGAGGCAAGACCCAGAGGCGGGGCACGAGTAGGGAGCATGGGTGCTGCCACTTGCTGAGCACATGTTATCCTGCAGGATGTGTGAGGGGGAAAAGCGGAAGCTGGTGATCCCATCAGAGCTGGGTAAGAGGCCTCACCCGAAGTGTGTAAGGGCTGGGGTATGATTGGGAAGGGTGAAGTGCTGCTTCAGCCTCATTGGCCTCCATCCTATCCATTTATCACAATACCTGTGTCTTTCAAGTCTGACGATGCCAAGCAGTGAGGACAGGGCAAGATTCTTGGGACACTGGGCTGTAGTGCCTACCCTCTGCCCTCTACCAGGCCTTTGGCATCACCTTCCCATCTCCATTACACCTTCTCCATTTCTGGCCTTCTTGCTGAGGGGACAGAAGCTTGGCTGTCTATAGAACACCCCCCCACTTTGCCTGAGCTGGAAGGGAGCCTGGCCACAGCTGACCGTTTCTTCATGTATCTTCAACAGGGTATGGAGAGCGGGGAGCTCCCCCAAAGATTCCAGGTAATATTATACCTTCTTGCCCCCCACCTCCTGCAGCCATCCCATCTCCTTGTGGCCCTGGTTCGCATTCTGACTTCACTTCTCCCCTACAGGTGGTGCAACACTGGTGTTCGAGGTGGAGCTGCTCAAAATCGAGCGACGTTCAGAACTGTAGCCAGACTGGGGAGGGGCAAGGGGAGAGAGGCCCCCATCAGGGACCAGACTGTTCAAAAAAAAAAAAAAATACAAAAAACAAAACTCTTTAAAGCCCAAGGAATGAGCCTGTGTTTGTTTGTGGGCCCTAAGACTCAGACTGGGAGCTCCAGCCTTCCCTCTCCCTTGGCACACCCCTCATCCCCTTCTCCTTCCTGACTGCAGAGCCTTGGGGGTCCAGGCTCAATGGCATGGTGGCCCTTGCTCAGAGAGAAGAAGCAGTGTTCCTGCCTGCCAACAGCAACACTGCTCTCCCATCCCCCACAGCTCCCCAGCCTCTTCCAGCTCCTGGTCTGGGAGCCAGCACTGGGCTATCGCCATGACTACGTGGCCCTCAGGAAGGCCTGCGGTCACCTGGGGAGAAGCTGAGCTGGCAGCAGTAGTAGAGCAGTGTGTCCCCCCTAAAAGAGACCAGCCAAGCCTGTTAGCTGCACCAAAGGCATATCCTAGCTTTATTAAAGGGCCCGCACCGCAGAGTCAATATAAAAACACAAAAAGTCCCATCAGTTTAATAACAATAAAAAACCCCAAAAATGGAAAACTGAGGGTGCAGGGGAAGAGGCCCCTGGGCCAGGGGCACGAGGAGCCCTGCTCATGGCACCAGGCCTGGCCGCAGGGTCCCTGGTATTGCTGTTGCTACGAGGTTGGGGGGCTGCGATTGTCCTGTGGGAGCCACCGTTCACCTGGGTCAGGGACCCTTACTTCTTCTGGGGTGTGCTCAGCTTCTGCATGCCCCGGATCTTGTCCAGCAGGCCAGAGATGAAGGCCTGGACAGGAGGGTGGATGTTAGGGAGACCAGACCCCAAAATGACAGGAGCCTGGGCTCCCCTACCCCACCCTCTAGGGGAACCACTTACCTCAGTGGGTTTGTAACAGTCAACCAGCAGCTCCTAGCAGGGCATTGAGGGAAGGGGAGGAGGGATGAGTACACAGTGAGTTCTCAGGAATGGGGCCTAGAGTTTACCTATACCCACTTCCAAGGACTGGGGCCACCCTAAGGCACAGGAGATGCCACAGTCACATGGCTAGGCAAGTAGCATTAGCCCCATTTGCCAGAAACTGAGGCTCATGGTCACAGAGCTGGCTGACTCAAACCAAAGAAGGCCAGGCTCTAGAGCCTTGCTTCCTAAGGACAGTGCCTCCAGGCAGCCCTGCAGCCAAGGTACCCCTCAGCCCCTCTCTTACTTTGACCCTGGCAGCCCGGGTATCGTCACTCTCCATGTCCAGGAGCTCATCCACATCAATCTCCAGCTCTGGGATCTCCTCTTCCTGGGGTGGGGGTGGGGGAGGAGGGAGAGACAAGGGCCTGAGTTGGGAGAGAGGGTGTGAGAGGGGCTCTTGGGTTGAGGTCCCTGCCTACCTCAGGATGAGCCCAGCCCTCTTTGCCTGGCAGACAACGGCAGCTGCTCTGAGGAAGAAAACAGATCAGGCTCATGCCAAGGCAAATTGCCCAGGGTTTGGGGGGGGCTTCCTGTCCCTGCCAGTGGGCACTAGGGGTGCCAGACAAGGCCAGACAGCCAGGACTGGGGACCTTGGGCTGGGAACCCAGCAGATGTGTCTCCCCAACATCCGGGCCCCCCATCTCACCAGTGAGATGAGCATCGGTGAGGCCAGCTGTCCCAGCTCGTCACAGCCCCCTCCCCTCCCCCAAACACCTGTCACAGCTTCCCGGAGTGAGGAGGAAGTGAAGGGTGAGGGGTCAGTGGCAAGGACCCAGGCCTGGTAAAGGGGAAACAAAGAGCCCATGCTTTGGTGAGGGAGGGGGTGCCCACCATGCCACCCCCCAGGGATGCTGCTACCCTGTTTGAAGCCAGCTGCATTCCAGGGCTGGGCTAGGGTAGGCAGCACAGGGCAAGCCCACTCTTCCACCCTGCCCCGGGGGGCCTGAGTCACCATCTGAGCAACCAGGGAGTCATGGGGTGGAGAACCAGAGCCCAGAGAGCGGGCTAGCCTGCCCACATGCTAAGATGGAACTTCGGGCTAGCTCATTAGAACAGCCACGACCCTTTACAGCCCCACCAACTAGACTAGCGCCTTCTAACCAAGGTCTAAGCTAGCTGGCACTAGGCAGGTTAGACCTCCTTTCATTGCCAGCCCAGGCTAGCCCCCTGCTTCCTGCCCAAGGCCCAGACTGTCCCTAGACACTTCTGGAGAACACCAAGATTCACTTGGGGAGTGACATGAGGGAAATAGGGTCTGTGACAGTGAAGAAGATAGAAGTGACTTAGGTCAGACAAGAAAGAGCATACATTGGGGGCGGGTAGTGCAGAGGAGAGCGCGCAGAAGCAGAGCGCCCATTGACTTCGGTGACAGGCGGGCTCACAGTAGGGTTCCCGGGCGGACCGACTCGGGACCGATTTTAGGGTGTCGGCGCTGGGTGGGAAACACACCTGGCAGTCGTAGAGGCGCGTGAGCTGCTCCAGAATCCACTCTTCCAGGTTGAGGCGCTTCCGTAGTTCCTTGCGGTCGTACTTGACGGTGACCTTCCCTTGGCGCCTCACTGGGCCCTCATCGTCCGCACCGCCCGGGCCCTCACCTGCAGCCCCAGGGGGGCTCTGAAAGTACACGCGGGGCCCTGGGCCGCCACTGCCCGGCCCGGGGGCCGGGGCCGCCAACGCCGCGCCCCCCGCAGGGCCGCTGTCCGCCATGGCGGCCGCCGGGGCCACGTGCGCGCGTCGGGCCCCTCCCTGAGCCGCCGCCTCCGGGACGCCCGCCGGCTGGCTCCGGGCGGCTGGCTCGGGTTAGCTCAGGGGCTCGGCTCCGCGCGGCTCCGCGGCGAGGGCGGCGGCGGGGGCGCCCGGGGGCAGCTGCAGCATGCGGAGCCCCCGGGCCTGGCCTGGCCGCGCCCCGCCCCCTCCCCGCCGATCCGCCCGCCCTTTGTCCCCCGCGGCCGCCGCCCGAGCCGCCGCCACCGAAGCCGCTTTCTCTGTCTCGCTCTCTTCCTCCGCCCCCCGACCACACCCCCTTAAAGGGCCAGCCCCGCAACGGGCCCCTCACCCCCATCCCGCCCCCAAGCAAGGACTAGGAGGGGGTCTAGTCCGCAGGGATTTGGGCCTGGTAGTCCGCATCCCCCTAAATAACCTTCCAGACCCGAACCCAGGCGTTCTAAGCGCCCAGTACTGGAATTTGCGCTCCCACCTGCAGGCTAGTCCTCTTTGGACCCTTCCTCATTCTGTCCTCATTGAGGCAGGAATAGGAGCCATCTGAGAATGGGGGAGAGTGGACACTACGTGTAGGGAGAGGGTCTGGTGAGGATACATGGGGGCCCCCATGTCTGGGTCCTCTGGCCCTTGGTCAGCAAGGGGCGAACGGGCTTCTCCACGCGGACCAACACGTGGACCAGGCTCCCAGGGATGGAGGAGTGCAAAAGGCGGTCACAAGCTGCCCAAGTCCCCAGACGCCCTAGTTGGCGGGGTCCCACGCCCCCACGAGTTGGGGGTGAGTAGAGCCAGCCGGCTGGCCTGAAGGGCCAGACCCGAGGCAGCCACCGCCCACTGGCCAAGATGGCGCGGGAGCGGGATTGTGGGAAATGTAGTTCGAGGGCCCGGGCCCGCATGGCCGCCCCTCCCCCGCGGAGCCCGAGCCCGGAAGCGCAAACTTGTTGGCGCGCCCTCCCAGGGCTAGCCGCCGCTGGGTGCGGCCCTCCGCGCCCCGCAACCCGTGTGTATACAAAGATCTGGGAAGTGGGGAGGCCAGACTCCTTATAATAAAGGTGATAATAACAGCTGGCCCATAATGAGCGTTTATCGGGACCCCCACTCAGTTGGTTCCACCTTGAGGACACTCATTGGATCTCCCACAGATCCTTGCCCTGCACCTCCTCAGTCCTTCACACCACATTGACCCACCTTTCTTAAGCCGACTGTACATCCCATTCCCTCACCCCATTTGATTTTCTGCATCTTAAAATTTTCTCATTCATTGTTTATTGTCTGTCTGCTGCTTCTAGATTGTGAGCTCCATGGGGCAGAAACCTGTGTGAACTTTGTTTGCTGCTGATGCCCAGGCTTGAGTCTGCCTGGTCTTCAAACCCACGTGTATTGGGCAAATTACCTGGTGCCTGCTGAACCCAGCACCTAGAATTATGTCAGGCTCATAGTAGGTTGCTAGGTTGATCGAACAATTGACAGAGAAAGCACCAATGGCTTCCTCCGTACCTCCATTTCCACAGTAGTTTGTGGCAGAGATTAAACAGGAAAATGCGTGGAAAGTTCAGTTACTACACCACAGAGGTTAATTAAGTCATGTGGCTAGATAAAAGGGGAGCTGAGATTTTGAACCCAGGCTGTGTGACTCAAACCCCTGACACAAAGTCCCTACTCATCCGCTCCCTCACCTCCTGTGGACACCACCCAGCAAGGTTGTGCCACTCTCCCTGGGATGTCTCCATGGACAGCAGGCTTACGTGTTCCAAACAGGGTCTCTGGGTCTGAGAGGCAGTGCTTCCTTTCCAGCCTTTCACAGACACCCTCTCTTTTGATGTTGGTGGCACAAGCCATGTGCAGCAGGTGGGGTTCACAGAAGAGCTGGGATTGTTCCAAGGTGGCACATCTGGTGCTGCATCCAAACTTGAACCCAGGACTTTAGGCTCCTCCTTTACCCTATAGTGGGGAGAAGAATCAAAGAGAAGACAGAGGCTGAGAATGAGGGGTGAGGTGGGCTTCTCACTGACAGCATTGGTGGGGGGTGGGCTCACAGGACCCAGTCCAGGAGAAGGTAGAGTGAGCTGATGCCTCCTCCCTCTCTGGCCCTTCCTCTGGTCTTAGCCTTCCTTCAGCCAGCCTGGGGGCCAGGGAAGGGCTGACCCTTGCTTTTTCCATTAGGCAGGACCCACCCTCTCCTCTAGGAGCTCTGTCCTCCTGCTCCAAGCCTGGCTTCATGGGAGGTTCACTTTACACACATCCAAAGGGCAAGTCAGCTCTGTTTGAACCCAAACATTCATTTGGGCCTTGGGAATAGAGGGGAGACACACTCACACTCGATAGCCCCTAACACCCAACAACTGCTGTGAGAGTGGGGCCTGCAGGCCGTGAGGACCTCCAGCCCCAGCTCTGCCTCCA